GAAATCTGGAAGACTGCTACCTAGCCAATCAACTGGAAGAGATCCATATCTGTGCCCATTCCAAAGAAAGGTGATTCAAAAGAATGTGGAAATTATCAAATATCATCAATATAACATGCAAGTGACATTTTGCTAAAGATAATTCAAAACATGATTGCAGCAGTACATCAACAGGGAACTGCCAAAAATTCAAGCAGGATTCAGAAGAGGAGGTGGAACAAGGGATACCATTGCTGATGTCAGATGAATCTTGGCTGAGAGCAGAGATTACGAAAAAGATATTTGCCTCTGTTCTATTGACTGTGCAAAGGCACTGGACTGTGTCGATCATAACAAATTCTGGGTAGCACCGTGAAGAATGGGAGTTCCAGAACCCTTAGTTGTGCTCATGGTGAGCCTGTACATAGACAAAAAGCAGTCATTCAAACAGAACAAGGTGCTACTGGGTGGTTTAAAGTCAGGAAAGGTGTGTGTTACGGTTGTATTCTTTCACCATACTTATTCAATTTGTATGCTGAGCAAATAATCTGAGAAGCTGGACTATACAAACAAGAAATGTGCCACCAGGATTGGAGGAAGAATCACTAACAATCTGTGTTATGTAGATGACACAGCCGCACTTGCTGAAAGTGAAGAGGACTTGAAGCACTTACTGATAAAGAGCAAAGACTACAGTTTTCAGTGGGGATTGCACTTCGACATAAAACAAAAATCCTCACAACTAGACCAAAAAGTAACATCATGATAAACAGAGAGAAGACTGAAGTTGTCAAGGATTTCATTTTATTTGGATCCACAATTAATGTCCATGGGAGCAGCAATCAAGAAATCAAAGGACGCACTGCACTGGGCAAATCTGCTGCAAAAGACCTCTTTAAAGTGTTAAAAAGCAAAGATGTCACCTTGAGGACTAAGATGTGCCTGACCTAAGCCATGGTATTTTCAATTGCCTCATATGCATGCGAAAGCTGGACAATGAATAAGGAAACCAAAGAATTGACGCCTTTGAATTATGGTGCTGGTGAAGAATATTGAATATACCATGAACTACCAGAAGAACGAACAAATCTGTCTTGAAAGAAGTACAGCCAGAATGCTCTTTAGAAGGGAGGAAGGTGAAATTTCATCTCCCGTCCTTTGGACATGTTATCAGGAGAGACCAGTCCCTGGAGAAGGACATCATGTTTGGTAAAGTGGAGGGTCAGCAAAAAAGACCCTCAGCGAGATGGACTGACACCATGGCTGTCACAATGGACTCAAACACAGCAACAACTGTCAGGATGGCCCAGTAACGGACAATGTTTCGTTCTGTTGTACACAAGTCACTATGAGTTGGAACGCACTTGACATGACCTAACAACAACATCTTCGAATGTTTGATCCACGAATTTAAAGTCTGCCAAAAACTCCCTTGTGAAATATGATGATAAAGTTTTTGAACAACTTTTCTTACTTTTTTCTTACATCAGATTCTTCCAGCTTTTGTTATGTATGAAGGGAACTGGTTCAATACATCCAAAAAGATAATTAATATGGAAGCACATTATCAACTTATCTCTATCTGGGGCAATCTTCATTTTTCATGGAAAAAAAAAAATGAAGCATCAAAAATACTAACAACACATGGCTTAGATAATGCTCAATATTTTCCTTGTCTCCCCAGCACCTTTTTGGAAAATGAGTATTTTTGATATCTGTTTTGAAACTAGAGGTACTTGTAAATAATAAAGATAAAAACTCTCTTTATTATGTAGAATTATAATATTAATAGTTCATTATATTTTCAAATTTCTATATGCTTCATTTATGCCATCAAAAAGTAAACAATGTAAAATATCTTAAAGTTAAATATCTTGTTGCATTGTCACTTGTAACTGAAATTTAGAAGTAAATTGGTAAATTTCTTTTTAGTGACACTTTAAATATCACAAATATGATTACTTATGGGTAATCTAAGTTGTCTATATTTTTAATGCTCCAAAACTAGTAAAGTCACCTAGCTAAAAAAATCACATATTCCAAATATTTTCACCATACCTAACCCTTCAAACTTTCATTCTTTCTTCCTTTGGCTTCAAAATTTGTGGAATTTTTAATTCTCTATTCCCAAACTTAAGATGTGAGAAAAAGTAGCCCTGTCCTAAATTAAAACAGCATTTAGGCATGTAAAAACACAATCTTAAAAAAAAAAAAAAAAAAAGTGCAAATACATAAAGAATAAAAACTGAAAAGGAATATAACAATATGTTAACAGTGACTCCTTCTGTAAGTAGAAACACAGGTGATTTCACTATGTACATGTATTATCTTTATAATCATAAAAAATTACTTTGAAAGTTTTTTTAAATGAATTCACTTTACATACACATACTACGCACATGTTAAAATTTGACCATAGAGCCTTTATCCTTTTATTATCATTTTCCAAAAGCTTCTTTCTAGAAGCTTCACACCCCTCATACAACCAATACATAACATGGCTGATACTCTAAAGGAATCATAGTTCTGTTTCTGCAGTTATTCAAATAGGTGATTAAGACCATTTCACACAGCACCTGTAAACCTAGAAAAATAAGTGCCAATATTTTGGTGCCTTCATAATGTTTTTCTGGATTCCTAATAGAAATGCTTGTGTTCTATGGGGTACTAAGAGTCACTTTAAAAAAAAAAAAAGTAACTATGAACACATCCAAACTTAACACATGTACAAAATCACATTTGAGGGCTTACAATGTTATTCTAAAAAATCATCTGACTGATTTCATCTTTTTCTAGTAAAATATTTAAAAGTTCAGTTTCTTAAAATCAACTATCTTTGATACCTAGGCCAAAAAATGTTACAAGTTTTCATAAATAAGATAAAAACATACTGTACAAGTTGAAAACCACCTCTTTACGGTAAGATTATTTTACTAAAAGTAAGTTTTGATAAGGGTATAAAAAGAGACACCTGACACACCCACTAGGTTGGCTATTATCGGAAAAACAAAAAATAACAATTGTTGGCGAGGATGTGGAGAAGTTGGACTCCACCTACATTACTGGTGGGAACGTGAGATAATACAGCTACTGTGGCAAACAGTACCGTGGTTCCTCAAAAAGTTAAACTTAGAATTATTGTATGACCCAGCAATTCTATCCCTAGTTATATACCCAAAGGACTTGAAAGCAAGGACTCAAAACAGAGACTTGTACACTGACGTTCACTGCAGCATTATTCACAACCGTCAAAAGGTGGAACAACCCAAAGTGAATGGATAAATGGATAAATTAAATGTGGTATAAACATAAAACAAAATATTATTCAGCAATAAAGAGATATGAAGTTCTGATACATGGTATGATATGAATGAACCTTGAAAACCTTATGCTAGTAAATCAGACACAAAATGACAAATGTTATATGATCCCACTTATATGAAACATCTAGAGTAGGCAAATGCCTAAAGACAAAAGTTCATGAGTGGTTACTAGGGGGAGGGAGAAACGGGGAGATAATGTAGAAGAGGTACTGAGTTTCTGTTTACGGTGACTGAAAACATTTGGAAATGGATAGTGATAGTTGTACAATATGGTAAATGTTATTAATGTCACTGAATTGCAGACTTACAAATGGGTAAAATGGCAAATGCTTGTTATATATATTTCACCGCAATAAAATTTAGTAAAAAGAAAATAGCAAGGTAGGTGAGGGAATGTAGAATGTTGAACCAAAAACAAAACCACTCATTGTCACTGAGTCAATTCCAACCCTTGGCAACTCAATGTGTTACAGAGTAGAACTGTTCCATAGGGTTATTTCACTATAATCTTTATGAAGGCAGATCACCAGGCCTATCTTCCATGGCACCACTGGTTGGGTTCAAACTGCCAACCTTTAGGTTAGCAGTCTAGTACAACCATATGCACCATCAAGGAACCTATATGTAGAATGTTACTGATGACAAAATGAAGACAAGGTTTGGAATTGTCAAAAAAAAAAAAAAAAAAAAAAAAAACACTTGAACTTTTTAGGAAAAGAAAAACATACAAGGACCTTCACAAAATATCTAAAATGGATGACTGTGTTTTAACAACAACCAATCTTTAAATTATCCATGCAAATAAGGCAGAGGCACAGGGTCAAAAAAGTCAGGTTATTAGGAATCTCTAATATCTTGATCTACCAATAAATGAGCTGTATCTGTATTCTTTAATATCTGATTGTTTGCAAGTACTATTTTGGATTGTTTGGTGGAGTGAACAGGAATGTAGAAGGGAAACGAATTAACATAAAAAAAGCAATAACTGTTTCAGCTGTTAAAACATGTTCTGGTAACAGAATAACCAGAACAGAAATAATGAGAATGTTCACGCATTATGAAGAATGTTATCAATGTCACTGAACAATTTGTGTAGAAACTGTTGAATGGGAAACTAAATTGCTGTATAAACTTTCACCAAAAACACAGTAAAATATTACTTAAAAAAAAAATATATATATATATAAAACAAAACGAAACATGGTTTGGTTACAGAAGCTGGTGTGGGTATGAAAGTCCAATAGTTTTGCACCTGAAATTGAGGAATTAAGTTTAAGGGATTAGGAATTTAAGAAGAAATCTCTTATCTCCATAGTTCCTACTCTTTCTCTCAGGATTCCAAAGGTGTGATGTAGTCTGACTACACATCTCAAAGTTCCCATTAATGCTGGGTAGTCCCGGCTAAGACACAGTTATTTTGGTGCATACTATCCCATGAATTCTGATCCATCCAGTAAGTGTAGACCACAAGCAGAAAATAGGGAACTAAAAGAAAGAGCAATAGGGAAAAAGGAAGGGAGGTAGTGGAAAATGATACCAAATGACACTAAATGATTAGCACTAAAAGATAACTAGGTCAGAAAAAATAACTAACATGCAAATAATCTGAAATTAACTTACAGTTGTAAATGCTGTTGCTACAAAATTCTAGATATTAACTTCTTTTTATCACTTAAACTTCCTTTAAAATGAGCTTACCGGAATCATAGCTTGGAGGCTTCATATCTCCCTGATTCAATTCTGTCCCATATTTCAACTTGTGGTATTTGGCTCTAACAAAGAAATAAGAAAATACAAACCATCTTAAAACATATTTAAATGAACATTAAGGTATGTAATTGGGGTAGTCATCAGCAGGCCGCAGTCTTGGCTAAATACTCATAGAACTTTCAAAGGTTCCAAGTCGTCCATGGTGTCAAAGTCATAATACAAGAACGCTTGTCTTATTTTTTTTATTTTTGGTTACACCATCAAGTGTCATTACAACAAATACAGGAATAACACTGGGAACCGTAAGTCTTCTTTCTGCAATTAGAGAGGAACCACGTAACATTCTAGTTTTTACAGTATTCAAATTTTCTTGATGATTGCCAAGAAAAGAACTCTACTATCAGAAGTAGCAGAAAAAGTTTGGATTGTGAAATAAACTTGTGAAAGATTGACCTTTCTCAAAACAAAAGCTTTTTTAAAAGAAAAATCATCTATAATATTATGTTATGCACCTTGTCAGGTCATTATGATTCAACAAGCAGGCATAATATTGAATAATCCAAGGAGGTAAAAACAAACAAACAAAAAAAGAACACAGCCCAAATCATCAATGTTGAAAAATATTTTTTAACTAGTCAAAATATCCTTTGTCTCTTACTCAAGAAGTACCGTGAAAACGAATACTATCTTCTTTTAAAAGTTAACAAAATATTATTATTTCTATATAGCTTGATTAAACAATCTCAGGTTTATTCATCTGGTACCAGAAAAAAAATCAAATTACGTAGAAATCGAAAAGGTTAACTAAATATGGCTACACTTCTTCAATGTATTTGTATATTTTGACTTGTTTGCTTCCCACAAAATATTTAAGGCCACTTAAATAAATATTCAAGGTGGTAAGACCTGGGTAGTAATAATGATGACGACAAAAACAGCAACAATTTGGAAAATCAAAGTAATAAAGAAGAAAACAGGAATATAACCAAGTTTGAAAGATATTTTTTTCTTTATAAAAAACTAATTGAGTACTTACCATAAAGTTTTTGTAATTTAAGAAAATTATTTAAAAAATAAGAACTATTTCCTCTAATATGTAAAGTCTTGGAATCCTTCATGAAATTCGATCTAACAATAGCTAATAATTATTTTGCTATTTTTTCAGCTGCCACTGAAAAATGAAAGAAATTTAAGAAAACCTATGGAAATTACAGGCAGCTGATGGCCTCTTTTTAAAAGGAAATAGTGGGGATATGAGCGTTTTTATGTTAGTCTTTCTATCTTGTGCGCACGTTTCAAATATTTGGTAATAAAAAGAAAATCATACAACGTGCCCATTAAAAAGGAAAAAGAATGTTCATGTCGTACCACAGAATGATCTCTAAGCTCAAGTGAAAAGGCACGGTACAAAATGCTATTTACAATATTCCTCCATTTGTGTTTTTATAAAATAGATCTATATACCTGCATATATACAGCAGAATATTATGCAGTCATAAAGAGAAGATCCACATCATGGATCTTGAAAGCATTATGCTGAGCAAAATAACTCAGTCGCAAAAGGAAAAATACTGTATGATCTCACTTACATTCAATAAGCAAATATACAGAAACTAAGATGATTAACGGTTACCAGGGGTGGGAGGGAGTAGAAAAGGTGGAATTTTTGCTGGGGGGTATTCAGTTTATATTAATGGTGGTGGAATATTTTGGAAAAGGATAGCAATAATGGTGGCACAAATGTAATTAAGGTCATTGAATTGTAAATGTGGAAGTGGTTGCATTGGGGAATGTTTGGGTGTGTATTTTCACCACAATAAAAAAAGAGGATCAATATAAATACATAAGTATAGAATATTTCTAGAAGGATACATGATACATAAGACACCAGTTAATAAGGTTTCTTCAATGAACTGGGGCAGAAGGGAGACTCTATCTTCGTGCTGTTTGGTTAATTAAGCGCATGTATATATTTCTTCTAAAAAAAATTTTTTAGTAAATATCTTTGGCCTACATTATCTAGAACATCTTTTTTCTCCATTCCCAATGTCTCTATTATTCATAAAGATTTCATCACCAGACTCAACATTTCCTAGTCTACTGCAATGTATTTATGATAATGTTGATTATCAGAGGGCAAGATTTATAGCCATTAATGTGACTTACGGTCACCAGAAAGTAAACAAGGTTCTTAATGTAATTTTCACTCTTCATATTTTCTAAAAACATACTTCATCTACCATGACACAAAGTAACAATGGCTCCTAAAAGTCAAAATAGCAACTGATAGTAACTGGTCTAAGGACAGATTATATTAACGCTTTTTAAATAAAAGTGGCAATAATATTTTATGGAGTTAATATTTTTTTTTAATATATGTAAAAGAAGAAAAACATTTTCAAACACAAAATCTGCATTATAGTGCATTCTAGTGGTCTTAGGAAAAACCGCAACAGAGCTAACAAAAAAGAAATTAAAAATATTCTAAATAATAAACTTAACAAAAATAATGACACGCTCTGAAATAACATTTCATATAAAATTAGACAAAGACAAAATATATAAAGAACTGCTATGGTTACTACAAGCTGTGTTCCCTAAAATCAGGGTCTCCCTACTGAATTTTTAAATTCACTGAAAAATGTTTCACTTGCAGAACCCTCCTCAAGCATTCCTTTTGAAGCCAATATGCTAAAATTCCTTCTCACTCATACTGTTTTCCATTGTGCTAACACTTCACCTCACTGTTACCGTTTTATTGTTTTCTCTTCTTTTCCTGTCTAATTCTGACTGGAGATTCCATAGCTAAGAACTCTGATACATTGCTAGACCACCCAACTGGCCTAAAAAGTGTATGATTATAATATACTAAATAAATCTCCTTCTAGTTTTGCTTCAACACAAAGACATTATTATATCTAAAGTGCTAGGAAGGAGCCCTGGTGGCAATGTGGTTAGAAGCACTCGGCTGCTAACCAAAAGGTCGGCAGTTCAAACTCATCAGCCGCTCTATGGGAGAAAGAAGTGGCAGTCTGCTTCCATAAAGATTTACAGCCTTGGAAACCCTATGGGGCAGTTCTACTCTGTCCTATAGGGTTGCTACAAGTCTGAATCGACTCAATGACAGTGGGTTTGGTTTTTGGTTTTAATGTGCTAGGAATATAATATAGCATTCCAATCACATCTTAAGGTGTCACTGCTAAAAATAATTTGGTTAAATTCAATGAACTGTTGTAAAAATGATGGCAGGGGAGTGGTGTCTGACCTCCTCTAACTTCACAAAAGTGGGAGAATCACCATCAGCATCAGCCCAAGGCTGATTCCTATGAGGCAGGGGTAAGACATACCTCCTCTCTCCAAACTTCTTACAATTGTGACACCAGCGCTCCCTTCCACAGCACTCTCTACTTCTTTGCTGGGTTTGATAATTCGTTGCAGTGGTCACAAAAAACTCGAAGACCATATTCACAGTTATGAGGTTTATTAGGGAAGTAACAAGTTACAATTCAGGATCAGGAACAACTCAGGATACAGTTCTTAGATCAGGACAGCCTCTTCTCAGTCATGCCCACAGGCAGGCCTCTCTCTTGCCCTCAGCCCCTTGGGCAAATGTTACAAAGCTCTTCAGCTCTGCCAATAAATGCCCAGGGGCACCACACTCCTCCAGGAAGCCTTCTACCCGAAGGTGCTCAGCTCTCTCGTTCCATGGGTACACATGCCTACTATAATGTCCTTACTCCGTGGGCTGGGAAGCCCACTGCGTCATCTCACACGGGTCTCCTGTTCTGCTGTCACTGTTTCTCCGCCACTGCTTCTCCCCGTCTTGCACTATCTCCGGTGTTACAGCTCTCTCTCTGTCTCCTAGGTCTAGGAGGTTCTCAGTACAGGGACTCTGAGTCCAAAGGACACACTCCACTCCCATCTCTTCTTCTTGATAGCAGTGAGGACCCCCTCCTTCCGCCTCTGGGATGGCTCATTTTTAAGCCTAGTGGGATGGCAAAACTAACCAATCCCCTTGTTACGGCTCCATACACCTTGTTTGCACAGTTCACCCCCAAAAGGGTGCCATGCACCTTATCTGCATTATTAGCAAGCTGACCAATCCCCTTGGTGAGCCACAGGCACCTTATCTGCATAGTCCCACCTCATCATTTGGTGGAAGTTACAAGATCATGGTGAGAAAGGCCATATGAAAGTGATCCATCAAGCCACACCTGTTACTGAATTTCTATGACAGGCCAGGCACTGTACTGGCAGCTGAGAATAATCTGAAGTATATAATCAGGTAAGGGCAGAAGCAAGAGTATGCCTACCAGACAGAAATATAAATAAATAACTATAGCACACTGTGATAAGAGCTCTCAGTTATCATATCAAGTGTTATTAGGAATGCAGATAAGGGATTATCTAATTCAGTCAAAGGTGATGACACATGAGATTTTAGCTAAGCTTCAAAAAACCAGAAGGAGTTTTCCAGTCAGACAAATGGATTGATGGAGAGGGCATTTCTGTCAAAAGGAGCATCATCTGACACAGTGAGTCAGAGAAAAGAAACAATATATTTAGTACCTGAATTACAATATGGAAATACTGAAGGCAAGGAGGACAATTAGGTTATTACAGCAACGCAGATAAAAGTGGCAGTGAGTAGAGAGAAATGGAAAACCACAGGAAAACTGTTTCAGAATTTTATTATATATAGTTATTTGTGGTTCCTCAGTATATAAATTACTGAATAAACCTCAGATTATACATCATGTATTCTTGAAAATTTATATGTAAATTTATTTTGTAAATTTTGTAACATTAAAGAATGCTTTGATAAAGCCATTGCTAGGTAAGTAATCCTTCTGTAATGTCAGAGATTCACTCAGTTTTACTAAATTTTAGATATCTTCTTAAAGTGGGCTACTTAAAAAATCTATACAATGTAGTAATTTGAAACCATAATCCTTATTTAAGCGCTTATATGTGAAATGACAAGATGTCTGGAATTTGCTTTAAAATAGGTCAAGATGAAATAAAACAGTTTCTGTTAACTGCTGAAGCTTGGAGATGGATACAAAGGAATCATTATACTAGTCTCTCCAAGTGTTTGAAATTTCCCTCAATTAAAAAAAAAATTACTGCCAGTAAAGCACTAGCAAAATGATTTCAGAGCGTAAAGCACTGAATGAAATGTTTTAGATCTCCAAGCCACAAGAAAATTCTTTCTAACAATGATTAATCTGTGAAGCATCTCATAACATGGATGAAACTGGAGGACATTATGCTGACTGAAATAAGTCAATCACAAAAGGACAAATATTGTATGTGACCTCTATTGTAAAAACCCATGAAAAAGTTCACACACAAAATGTAACAATCTTTGCTGGTTACCAGGGATGGGAGGGGT